GCTCAAACCCGTGTCCCCCACATTGGCAGGCAGACCCCCAACCACTGTGCCACCAGGGAAGCCCCAACCATATAATTTTTAATGCAAACAATTTTCTGAACATATGATATCAATAGTAAATTTAGAAATCTTCCTTTGGAGTGGGTTTTCTACTAATGCTGTATTGACTGACTTAGAATTTTTCAAATTCAAAACAAGTGATGAGATTTTAATTTTTCATCAACAAATATTAGGATATTTGAGATTTTGTTGAGCATGGGACCCTCTCTTTAATGCCATAGCTCTGTTTTCTAACAGGCAAGCCCATTTTATCACATAAGAAAATAAAACTTTTTAAATAGGAGCAAATTCTGTCCTCATTTTTCATTTGACCCCATAGAGTAAACAGTATTATAATGAAGACATGATGTTTTTCCATGTTTGACATGCAGCATTTTTTAGAATCCAGTGTGTGTGTGTGTTAAAGACAATCATTCACTGGGTAATTTTAAAATCAAATATACACTTACCTGTCCAGGATTCATAAGGCAGAAAGGTGACTAGAATCATTGAAGACCCTCTAGATATAAAAGCTGACTCTCTGTTTTCATGGAGATACTAGAGAGATTTAGGTGCTTAAGGATGGCTCCTCAAGAACTCATCCCTAATTTATCCAATCATCAAACACTTTCTGAAATGTATGTTCCTTCAGCACTCATAAAACAGTTTCTATTACAATGTTTGTTAATTCTTTCTGCAAATATGTGTTAAATGCTTGTGATGTATATGGGCAGCAGTAGGGCACAGAGGTTAGAACACAGGCCTGGACTTCAGACGGACTGATGTGTGATTCAGCCCAGCCACTTGGAGTCTTGTGACTTTGGTTAAGTTGCTTAACCTCCCTAACCTTTGTTTTATTCACCTGTAAAGTGGGATAATAGTAAGTATATTCCTATACACAGTTTATTTTAAATACTACTTGAAAGAGTAAATAAAATAATAAATTTAAAGCTCTTAGCTCACGAATTAAGAGCTTATTCAGCGTTGGTAAATATTATCTATTATTATTTATTCTACTACTACTACTATCCTGTACTTAGTTTACTAACGAGAAAACCAAAGATATAGAATAACCAGAGCAGATCCTACCTGATCTCTTAGTCTTAAAGGAGAACATATCATACACAGATGAAATGTTAAGTAACCACCCAAGTGCCCCATATGAGTCTGTAAGATGCAGGAACATGAGGCTCACAGGTGGCAGTACAATGTGGTGGTTATGATTGTAAATTCTGCCAGAGTCAGTTCCTTCTGTTCAAATCCTTATTCTAATACTGACCAACTGTGTCACCCAAGGCTAGTTATTTAACCTCTCTGTGCCTCTGTTTCCGCAAATGTAAAGTGAAATAATAAGAGTACATCCCTTAGAGGGTCATTGGGAGGATTAAATGAAGTAAAGCACTTGTGAGAGTGCCTGGCCCAAAGTGTTTACTAAATGTTAGTGACCATTACACACTTCTTGGTATCCAGCTCAAGACCTAGCAGAGTGATGTGCAACAAATATTTGTTGATTTGCTAGCAGTAATGGTATGAATACCAGACTACAGCCCTGTGACTAGAGTGTCATTAATTTGTAATTGAAGGGGAAAGAGTCATTGTGGGCTATGGAAGTAAAATGAATGCTCCTACAGACACCCAATTTCTTCCTTTTCTCACTAAGACAAGAAGTAAACTGAAAGTTTAAGGAAAGGAAGAAGAACATATTGATTGCAGCTATAAAGCAGTACATAAGGTAATGGGATAAACTAAATGTAATCCATTGACATTGGGCATCTCTGCCCCTGGACTTTCTGATTTGACTAAATCTGGTGGTAGTACCCCAGAGTTCTGGAACTCCAACTACACTTACTCAGTGTTCTTCAAACTGTATCCATTGTCCTGTGACATGTTCATCACTATTCCACGGGGAAAGTAAAAGGATGGGTGTTTTCCATGGTCAAATAGCTTTGGGAAACACTGATAAACACAGTTAGGTAAGTTTCTCAGAGGTTTTTTATGCATGAATCTCTAGGAGAGAATAAGATGCAAATACAGCACCTCCCCCAATGTATTCAACTGTGGAACTCTTTTCTCATAGAAAACCTATCATCATTTTCTATTGCACAGAAGGGAGGTGGGGAAATGCTGCTTCAATTGGAAGGAAAAATCTTATCAGCAAAATAACAAGTAATATGGAAGGTATTTACATATTTAGGGGAAAAAGGGAGAATTAATGTTTTGAATACCCATGAAATGCCAGAAACTTAAATGACAACTTAAATAATCCTTGCAGTCACTGCATTATGTTTTATCACCAAGATTTTACAGATGAAGAATTTGAAGCTGAAAAATTAAAATAAAGTCACACAGCTATTGTAGTAAGGGAAAGGGTGCCTGTTTTCATTAATTGAAATACTTCTTAAATATATGGAATTGCAAACTGGAAGAAGGAAGAATGACAGAGAAATGTAACTCCAGGACAAGTATGCACAACTTCCATTTTTTTCTTTTCATCATTTCACCCCCAAAATATGTTAACTGAAATCCACTGAGAATAAGATGGGGAAAGTAGTAAGTCTTAATACAAGAAGTACAGAGCAAATACAAATAGCTCTAAGACAAAGCACAAGATGCCACAGAAAATACTGACTATGTTCTTTTCACATTTTAGGACCACAATTCCTTTACCCTCCACTGAGTAATTTTCATAGCAGATACATGAATAGTGAGTCAGTATTTCAGTGGTCCTGGTTTCCTTTGAATAGAGAGCCAGTAAAACCAAGACAAACACATTTTTAAAACTCCGTAGTTTAAAAGAGGGACCGGGTTGTGGAATCTGCCTTGAACATTTTTTCATATATATATATACACACACATATATGTATCATATATATGTGTGTGTATATATATATATATGCACACACATATGTATTATATATATGTGTATATATATATATAATACACACAGGTAATTAGTACTACTGTTCACTGAAGAAGAATATCTTCCAACTGTGCCCACCAATGTAACCTAACAAGTTATTTTTATAACTTGGATATAGTTTTATTATTGGATCAGAGGGCCTGACACAGATGAATGATTTTCTGAAAGGTTACCACACCATCCGTCTGGAATAAGAACACGCAAAGGAAATTTGGTAACCCTGTACTGTAGATTCCTTCCCTTCAGGAAACCTCAAAGCTCAAAGGTGTAGGACCAAGGACAATAAAATTGCCAGGTTCTGGCCAATGGACCACTTTTGCAATACTCTGGGACACTAGGGTCAGACATTATTTTTCATATGCAACACTAATAATGTAATTTGTGACTCAAAAGAAGGTCACCTCTCCGAGTCAGTGACTATTACCTAATTGCTTGAAGGATTTTTCCAGACAGGTGGTCTGGAAATATTTTACTTACTGACGTCTCTGAACTTTTCAATTCTTTTGCCTCCAAGATATCTTGGAGAAAGTGAGACAACACCACACACCTTGTAGTTTTGAGAGCATTTCCCCAAATAGAACATTGTCTTACTTGATCCTCAAAGTAACCTCAAAAGTAGGTAAGGCGGGTACTTTCATTCCCATTTTAAAGATGTATAAACCGAGGCTTATGCAGTCACAATGAAGGACTCCCAGGGTCGAGTCCAGCCCTCTTAGTGTGACAGCCTTGGGACTCAGCGTGCATGAACTGGGAAGCAAAGTGGAATTATCACTGAGAACTGCATCTCAGAAATTCTTTTGGTTTCTTTGCCTACATTTCATAGATATTCTTCTCAATCAAATTATACCATGGCCACAATATACAAATGTTCTGACCAAAAAGTCATGTTCGTGTATCTACAGAGTAGATAGCCTTATAAAGTGTTTACTTTTTCCTTTTTTCTTTTGTGAAATAGCCTGAAAACAGTTCCCCCTTGCTGTCCTTCCAAGCGTATCTTCACCAAAGTTTAAAGGCAGAGCTAAGGGAGAGGGTTAGTAATCCTGCCCGTCTCATGCCCCGCAGCTGGGCTCCAGCTGCCCAGAGTAACTAATTAATAGGTAGGTGGTCTTTTCTCTCTTTGCTTCGGAGAGTCTCTTTTCTGCCTGGAGGTTGCCTCTTTCTCATCCACCAGCACAAGGAGCCTGGCGGCTTTTCGCTCCGGTGTCCTGGACAGCGCTGCCTGGGCTGCCACTCTCCAGCAGCGGCTCTTCGTCCACCCGAGGAGATGTCCCCACGATTCAGTAGTAACCAGACGAAGTCCCCATGGACTACTGTGGCCCAAATCCCGCCCATCCCCGCTGTGGGAATCAGGCTTTTCCCGGAGAAAACCCCAGGAATCAAGTTTAGAGAAAACTCCTTAAGTCCCACCCACCCCCCCAACACGCTCCCAGCCCCGGGGGAAACTGGAAAACCAGGAGACATTCCTTTTCCCCGCTGTAGATAAGTGCACTGTAAAGGCAGCCGCCGGGACTGCGAGCGCGTCCTTCCGGTCCGCGAACGCGGGCAGGGTAACAAACAGCAGGCATCAAAGTTACCGGGAAGAGAGCACCCTTTAAGTCACCCAGTTGTTACCCTACAGAGGAGGGCGGAGAGGAGCGGGGTTGGTGTGAGACGAAATTCCCGTAGCCACGTTGCCCTGAGAATAAAATTAGACTGGCTTCCCCGGGATGGGCGGACTCGCTGCGGAGGGAGACACCCAAGCTGAAGCAGGTGGGCACACGCGCCAAGTTCAGCATCGAGAGCACCCACGCGGGCGGTGGACTCGGGATTTCTGGGTATCATGTTGACAGCGTCTGTTGAAGTCAAATGCGGGGGTTAAGGTGACCCTTGAGGGAGGCTAGAGGAAATAATGGTAAACCCTGAAAAGGCATGACATGTCCAGATCTCCAAGGTTTTTTTAGAAGAGAAGAGAGGGAAAGCGCCACGGTCAACCCCCTATTACGCCAAGTAATCCGCGAGTTCCCAGCCCCACCCCTGCAGCAGCGATGCAAAGAGGACAAATCACCGACGTAGGGAGGGGGGAAAAAAGAAAACCCCCAGGGAAGAGGGAAGGGAGGCAGCGAGTGTAGGCACCGAGCAGTCTCCAACCACTGAGGCGAGAGGGAACGCGATCTGGGGAAACAAACTCCGCATCAATAATTTGAGTTTGGAGCCCAGTGCTTTCAGAGATTCGGAGCGCACCTCCCCAGCTTCGCCCGAGTTGAGACAGGGCAGCGCAGGCAAAGGGGCGGGCAATTCGACCGAGAGCGGCCGAACTGGCTGGTGGCACACGCTGCGCCGGGAGACACCCGCAAGAGAGCGAGCAGAGCCCGGCTCGCGGTGAGCGCTACAAGGAGGGAGCGCACCGCGCGAGCAGGCGGGAAGGGAGCGGGCCTCCGCCGAGGCCGAGGAGGCGCTGCATGGACAGCATGAGTTTCTCCGGGAGCCCCGGCGCGGGGCCCGCGGGGAACTCCAGCCCATGGTGGCCTCTAGCCGCCAGCGGTGCCAACACCAGCTGGGAAGCGGAGGCGCTCGGGAAAGATGACAGCCCGCTGGCGGACGAGCGCAACGAGGAGCTGGCCAAGCTGGAGGTCGCCGTGCTGGCCGTGATTTTCGTGGTGGCAGTGCTGGGTAACAGCAGTGTGCTGCTGGCGCTGCACCGCACGCCTCGCAAGATGTCCCGCATGCACCTCTTTATCCGCCACCTCAGCCTGGCCGACCTGGCCGTCGCTCTCTTCCAGGTGCTGCCTCAGCTGTGCTGGGACATCACCTACCGTTTCCGCGGACCCGACGGGCTCTGCCGCGTGGTGAAGCACCTGCAGGTGTTCACCATGTTCGCATCGGCTTACATGCTGGTGGTCATGACCGCCGACCGCTACATCGCCGTGTGCCACCCGCTGAAGACGCTGCAGCAGCCGGCGCGCCGCTCGCGCCTCATGATCGCTGCCGCCTGGGTGCTGAGCTTCGTGCTGAGCACTCCACAGTACTTCGTCTTCTCCGTGGTCGAAGTGAGCAACGTCACCAAGGCCTACGACTGCTGGGCCAATTTCATCCAGCCCTGGGGTCTCCCCGCCTACGTGACCTGGATGACCGGCAGCATCTTCGTGGCGCCCGTGGTCAGCCTGGGCACCTGCTACGGCTTCATCTGCTACCACATCTGGCGCAACGTCCGCGGAAAGACTGCGGTGCGCCAGGGCAAGGGCGCCCGCGCGGAGGGCGCAGGTGGCGCCTTCCACCAGGAGCTCCTGCTCGCGCCGTGTGTCAGCAGCGTGAAGACAATTTCCCGCGCCAAGATCCGCACGGTGAAGATGACCTTCGTGATCGTGACGGCTTACATCGTTTGCTGGGCGCCCTTCTTCATCATCCAGATGTGGTCTGTCTGGGATAAGAATTTCCCCTGGGTCGGTAGGTGTCGCGGGACGATGGAGTAAGGTGCACAGATGGGGTCTGTGTGCTTGGGGGGGGGGGGGGAGAGAGTTTCTTTTCATAATATCCTCTAGGGCAATAGTTTTTAAACTTCGTGCATGAGAATCACATCTTGAGCGGAACTGTTAAAAGCCAAAGTCCCCACCCCAGACGTTTTGATTCAGTAGATCTGGAATGGGGCCCAGGAATCTGCATTTGCAACGAGCTCCTAAGACCACAAATCCAGAAAACTGTGCCCTAGAGTCAGCCGCGCAATTACAGAACAGAATAATGACTTCTTGCCAAAGCACTAACCGCTGTGTTAAAACCCTGCTTTGAAGTCTGTTGGATTCAGAGCAATATGTATACTGTCACAACTGCTTTTTGCTAGTTTGTGAAAAGTATCGCAATGTAAAATTTTTGTAGAAATGCCCCAAAGTAAGGGTAAAACGGACATATTTTTAATTTGAAAATAGTTTAAATGTGTTGAAGAGAGATTCTTAAGTCAATCATTTTAATTTGGCATTTAGCTAGTGTTCCATTTCTTATCATAATGTTTTGATTTTTTCCTACAATTACTTTAACACTTTTTTCTCCCCAGTGTTTCAAAGCAGGATTATTAATAAACTCTAAATTTGTTAGACTGATTCATTAGTCTTCCAGGACTAACTTGACCACACAGCTGTACATCTCTCCACACAACTCTTGCAGTTTTCTGAGAATGTCCTCCGCACCTACTAGCTCATTTGATTTTAATTCCTTCACAAACTAGGAAAACCAGCTTCACAAGAACTTACCCCCAAAAGCATTATTTAATATTGTATCTTGAAAAAAAATTTCCTTTGATAAGGAAAACAAAAATTTTTTTTCACATCAAATATATTACAGAAATGTTGCTGACAACAACTGTAATTGGGAAATAGGTATCTGGGAAGAAGTGTCTCCTTTTGTTATTTGTGATATACTTTGAAAGTTGTATGTACAAATTAAACACTTGAGAGTGAATTTAATTCAGACAAATAAAAGTCATGGCTATAATAGCACTGATGATGAAAAATACAACATAAATGCTATATTTCCTGTCTCGTTTGGTCTTGGCAGCCTCTTAAGTATTAATCAAATAAAAAATTCAGCCTATTTGTTGCTTTATCAGGATTCAGACACAATTACTAAAAAATTCTTCACTTGTGCACAGGTATGTCGATGATTTCCATTCTTTCTGAATACAGTCTTAGTCCCGGATCCTGATCACCTTTAAGAGTAGCATCTTAGCACAAAGTCTGATTAACTAACGTGTAATTTATTCTGGCGCAACAAGAGTGAGAAGGCCCAAGTGCATAATTAATAAGGGAAAATCAGTGCTTGCCTATTATTCTTACCTTTAGAAAAGGTATATTCTCAGTGCAATAGTTCTATGGTGAAAGGTGGTATTTATGTAGTTTACCAATGCAAATACACAAAAAATGGTTCAAAGGACTGTTGGAATTTCTTAATTTATCTGTTCTTCATAATATAATTTAATTGTTCAAGCCACAATCAAAGATGGTTTTCTTTTAAAATCAAATGAAGCTTCTAATTAACCAAAGAAAACAACTAAATATTGCATCTTTCAGGGACCTATTTCAACTATCCCCTTCGGTATAGATTTCTTATTATAAGAATATGTTTAATAGTAAAAAATTTAAAACAACTAAACATGGTCCATAATGTCATACTTTTGCCTGAGTTATCAGGATGGATATAATTTGGTATATGTGGCTATAGCCTCTAGAAATTTCACCGAAATGGAAGCCGTTCTCTAAGTGCTGTGTTCATTAGCACACGCTAGTGCTAACACAAAGGATTCAAAACTTTATTAAGTTATTTAATATTCTTAACCTCTTGGAAGTCCCACTCATTCTACTTAAATATTTTAATAGTGGTTTAAAATCCCTGAATTAATTTCAAGGCATCTTGCCTACGAAAATATTTTACAACCAAGCAATTTCCATTCACCAACCATTTCCCTGACTGATAAACAAAATACTTTATTTTCTATATTGACCCATAACATTTTCCAGCTTTCATGAACCAACAGAAAAATGAGTTTATCCAGTGCTGTCACTTGCATTTGACTAGTTAAATGCTCTCCCCTTATGTTTTCCATAGAGTCAGAAAACCCGGCCACCACCATCACTGCATTACTGGCTTCCTTGAACAGTTGCTGCAATCCCTGGATATACATGTTTTTTAGTGGCCATCTCCTGCAAGACTGTATCCAAAGCTTCCCATGCTGCCAAAACATGAAACAAATATTCAACAAAGAAGATTCTGACAGTATGAGCCGAAAACAGACTTCCTTCACTAACAACCGAAGCCCCACAAATAGGACCGGCGTGTGGAAGGACTCAGCTAAATCTTCCAAGTCCATCCAATTCATTCCTGTTTCATCCTGAGCATGCAGCCTGACTCCTGTAACGGACTTTTCAGCCCACTGACTGAATCCAGCTAGAAATTATTAGAACAAATATAAGATAAATCAATCTGTTGAGTACAAGACTGTGTTTCTAGTTGCATTTTCACATTGCTACAAGCAAAAGCTATGAATTGTTTTATACGGAATGTTAATAAAAACACGCTACACTAAAATCTGCAGACCTAACCCAGAAATAACAGAAGTCATATTTCTAAAGGAAAAAGCATAACCACCTGGCTTTATATTTTGCTGTGGGTTTCTTTTCTTTTTATTTCTGACATAACTAAGGTTTGGTTGGTTTAGAAATCGTATAATTAGGGGCATTATTTCTGAACAAAGTAAGCTCACCATCAGCCTTAGGGTTTGAAAGGAATTAGAAGAGACGTCAGAGACATTATGTTTCCGTCCAGTAAAAGTAATTTATGTATCAGAAAATGCAGTCTCAAACCGTGGCCTGGAGTGGGGTGGTGCCTTGGAGAGGCATGAGAGCTTGAGGCATATTGAGTAGGGGGTGCCTGTTGCAGAGTGGAAAGAGGAAAGTCCTGTTAGAAGCTATAAATCACCTCCATTTCAAAACAGTAACTTTAAAACTGGCAGTTCCCTCCTTTGGTTCCTCATGTTTCATTGGTTGTCAAAAGCATGATTACCAAGATGCTGAAGGTTAGAGAAAATGTTGTCAACTGGCCGATAATATCTTTTTCTTCCCACTGCAAAGTTGCTTCAAGGTCAGATTTGTATGAAAAATATGTAATTTTATTAGAAGAGTAGAAAGTAGATTGCCTAAGGTATTATGTAGGCTTTCTCTAGAAAATTGTAAACATGTTTTGACCAGTGTTATAAGGTATCCTGTGCTGTACTGGATATTAACACCATCATTACTTCATGTCTGAGGAATCCAGATTCATAGATACGAGTCTCCTAAAGAATGACTCAGGATACTGAATGTTCCCTCATGTTTAATTAAAAATAACTTGGTCCTTCCTTCTGATCACCCACCCGTCGAACAGTCTCACAGTGGAGGAGAAGCAGGGCCGGGCAGGAAGAGGGCGGGGAAATAGAAAGAAAACTGCTCTGCATCTAGTCTGGCTTCCTTCGTTATTAAGTGCATGACTTTAGGGAAATGGCTTAAAAAGACATAAAGCCTCCATTACCTAGGCTGTACAATGGCGTTGATAACACTTACCTCACAGGGTCGTTGTAAGGACGAAATGAAATCAAGTGTGTGAAAAGATCTTCCTAAACTGTCAAGTGCTGTATGAGTGTTAGCTCTTGCTTTTATTACAGTCTTTTGCCCAGGCGGCGGGGGTGGGGGGGCGGTCTTCAAAACTTCACAGCTTTTTCCTGTTTGCTTTTCATTAACCAGAATGTGTTGGTTTCATGTCTGGCATACAAAATCCTAAAATTTAAATATAGCTCTGCTGATTAATCGGAAAGCATCGCCAACGGCCACTGTTAAGTCTAACTGTTGCCTAACCAAAGCTTTCCTATTTAAAGAGAGAATTTGCTTTCCTTTGACTGCAGGTAAACTGAAGCCAGCCAAGAGCATCAACTTCTTTCATTTCTAAACAGAGGTAAATTACAACACTACTGGCTGTTGTTACTGCATTTTTCATTAATGGAACTCAGTGGGGTTTTTTGAGCTATTCTGTCTGGCTCCTTTTCCTTCTTAGAGACCTTGCAATGATTTGAGGATACATCATAAATACTTTGCATCCCTTAGAGGAAGTAATAGCTATTTTAATAGCATTATTGGGTTTTTTTAAACTTTGTCGATAAGAAACTGAGCACTGAATGGCACTATGAGAACCTGGAACCATCAACCTCACTCCTCTTCATTCTCTTGCCTTTCCAAATTCTCAGGCCTTTTTCTCCCTGGATTTATATGCCTAAAAAAAAAAAAATGTTTCCAAATGTTTTATAGAGATTAAGCCCTTAGGTTTTAGAATTCTGCTTTTTTTAAAAATAACAAATATGTCTCTTAAAGGGCATTGTCCAATATGAGCCATCAATTAAATTCATCAATTCTTCATTATTTGAGTCATAGCAGCATCTCAGTATCCCTGCCCTCTGTGACGTTGTCAGCCCTTTTGACAACTTGACTTTGACAACTCAAAGCTAAAGCCTTTTGGGTTGGAACAAATACGAGCCCGCTTTTTTCTAAATGCAATTCCAAAATAATAACCTCATAGTTCTTGTATAGATTGTTTCAAAATGTTGATGTGTACCTCCAAGTAAAAAAAAATCAGTTTGAATCTTATTTCCAGGAACACCTCTCAAATAAGGTGCAAATTAACCTACCCAGCCATGTTTTCTCCTTTTAAATGCATCAGGACATGAGATAGCAGAAAAGGGGCTGGGGAGACACCAGAAGATCTGGGTGCTAGTTCTGCACTAGGCAAGTACGTGGTCTTATTCTTTGCGGTTTAGGCTGAGAAGCTTAACTTAGCTAGCTGCTAAACTTTCCTAATGTTATACACCCAGGAATGGCATTTAGATCTCCCAAAACAATATTCCAAATTGGAAGAGTCCTGACCGTCTATTTCAGAAGAAAGGAAATTGTAGGTGGTAAGGAAGAAGAGTATGCTGGGAAGGGAAGATTTCCCTTTCTTGACCAAAGAGGAGACCTGAGATATCTTAAATGAAGGTTTGCAGTCAAGGATAAATGTGTTTCATCACCTTATTTTATTTGCCAGTTACCTGTGGGAAGATCCTGCAAGTATACAATATTAATGTATCTATGTGGGTATGGGAAATGCAATTGATAACCCACCAGTAAGGAGAAACTGGTGATATTTCTATTGGACATTTGATAAACATTAATTGACGATGAAAAAACCATTTTTAAGTACATATTAAGTGCTTAATGGGTTAATTTTTGGACATGTATTTTTAAAGTGTAAAAATAACTATGAAGGAAATTAGTGAAATTCTTTGGTTAATTAAATATTTGTCCTACACACAGAACTTCCACCATCAGCAATGAAGTCTCATGCCATGATTGAGGGAAGGGTTTTTGTTTTTTTTCTTAAGAGAGGGAGGTATTTTTTTATTTTTATTTTACGTTATTTTTTTGGCCACACGCATGGCATGAAGGATCTTAATTCCCCCACCAGGGATGGAACCTGTGCTCCCTGCAGTGGAAGCATGGTGTTCTAACCACTGAACCACCAGGGAAATCCTGGGTGTGGTTTTTAAAGAGAAAAAAAATCAAGTAGTCTTAATAACATGGAGTACCCTTCCAAACTTATTATAGTTCCTAGAAAGGACAACCACTGATGATTAAGAAACACAACTTTCATTCTGTTATTCACAAGTAAAGTAATCCAATTAGGTTAAATTTTTATGTTTTGCAGACTCTAAAACCTATATTTTTGTAACATAATTGGACACTCAGAGCTTTAAATGATAGCTTCAGAGTTTGACCCTACCATAATTAGAAGCCATCTAGAGAGAAATTAAGCCTCATCCTTAACCCCAAATATCAGAGATTTGGTTCCTTTAAACCCATGTAAATTGGGCCCTTACGGATTTTCATACTGAAGACAACTTCTTTACTTAGACCAAGCTCAGGGCAGGGCCAACTGGGATGCTAGTCCTGGAGGTGTAGAAGCAGCCACTGTATCCCTGCCTTTTCCCTCCCTGTGGTCTTTTTAGTGCCACTCAGTGTCATTGGCAACACTTGACATCATGAGTAGCACATGGAAAATAAATATTAGAGAATGTTTCTTAATTAAAATTTGACCTCTGCCAATTTGAGCAAAAATTTAAGAACTATTCACAGGAAGAGTTATTTCCTTTAAGGCCCCAAGAGAGCCTTAAATGGGTTGAATCACATAAATTCCAGTGCACACACAGGCATTTTAAGAATATTGTTCTAACTCAGTTTTTAGGTACATTAAATTATGATGAATGAAAATGTAAATGTGACCTATAGTATGTCAGCAACAAAAATATATATTATAGGTGAAAATTAAATGCCATTTTTAAATTATAGATATATATATTGCATCTTTTTACATTAATTTATATGTTAAATAAAAACAGTGTCATAGAGTGAATTAAATATTTTTGTGTTCCAGGGTCAAATTAGCAAATTCAGAAAGGGAAATCTGAGAATAAGTCTGATAGTAATATCAGAATAATTAACAATTAGCATTAATATAAAATAATTAGCATTTCCACACTTGAAAGTAGTTGTCTTTATATCACAGGATTTCTGACTTAACATATTCTATGATGCTTTAGCTCATTATTATAGCAAATATATTAAGAATTGATGTTGTACACCATTGTAAAGCAATTATACTCCAATAATGATGTAAAAAAAATAATTGATGTTGTATATTTAGTATTCCATTTTTGGAACTGCTTTTTCAAACGTTCTGTATCTCCTAGCTTATTATGCTGTATAGAAGAATTTCAGTGTGTTTTCTTGGGACAATTGTATGGTTATGGTTTTGATGAATATTGAAATGTTTTGTGATTGTATCTAATATTTGGTCCTTTACAGAAAAAGATAGCTTGTGGGATTATATTGAAATAACTGGTGGATTTATTACTCAGTTTTATTATGTATTAACTTGATTCTATAAATAAAAATAAATACCAAATTTGACAAATGGATAAAGAAGATGTGGTGTATATATACAATGGAATATTATTCAGTCATAAAAAGAATGAAGTTCTGACATTTGCAGCAACATGAATAGACCTAGAGAGTATTATGCTTAGTGAAATAAGTCAGAGAAAGACAAATACCGTATGATATCACTTATTTGCGGCATCTAAGAAATAATGCAAATGAACGTATATAGCAAAGCAGAAACAGACTCACAGATATCGAAAACAAACTTGAGGTTACCAAAGGGGAGAGAGAAGGGGGGAGGGAAAATTTAGGGGTAGAGGATTAACAGGTACAAACTACTATGTATAAAATACATAAGCAACGAGGATATATTGTAGAGCACAGGGAATTATAGCCATTATCTTGTAATAACTCTTAATAGAGTATAATCTTTAAAAATACTGAATCATTGTGCTGTACACCTGGAACTAATAAAATATTATAAATCAACTATAGTTCAATTGTAAAAATGTCTGATCAAAAAAAGGGAAAAAAATCAAATTTGTCTGAAATAATCCTCTTACAATCTCGTTTAATAAAAAAATATAT